GGTTTCACCGTGTTAGCCAGGATGGTCTCGATCTCCTGACCTCGTGATTCACCCACCTCGGCCTCCCAAAGTGCTGGGATTACAGGCTTGAGCCACCGCGCCTGGCCTAATTTTATATTTTTAATAGAGATGGGGTTTCACCATGTTGGCCAGGCTGGTCTCGAACTGACCTCAGGTGATCCACCTGCCTTGGCCTCCCAAAGTGCTTGGATAACAGGCGTGAGCCACGACATCCAGCCTGATTTTTGTATTTGTAGTAGATACAGGGTTTCACCATGTTGGCCAGGCTGCTCTCAAACTCCTGACCTCAAGTGATCCACCTGCCTTGGCCTCCCAAAGTGCTGGGATTACAGGTGTGAGCCACCGTGCCCGGCCATTCCTCCCCTTCCTTTGACAGCACCGGGGTTTCAGTGTCCATGTCTCTCTCAGCGTGGCCAGCAGCAGCCGGGAGAACCCGATTCATATCTGGGATGCATTCACTGGAGAGCTCCGGGCTTCCTTTCGCGCCTACAACCACCTGGTAGGGACCGCCACGCTCAGCCCCAGCACTCGTACTGGCCCGGCTCTCCTTCCTTGAAGGCAGCTAAGGCTTTGCAAGACCTGTTTTCAGCCCTTTCCTTCCCCCAGGATGAGCTGACGGCAGCCCATTCACTCTGCTTCTCCCCGGATGGCTCCCAGCTCTTCTGTGGCTTCAACCGGACTGTACGTGTTTTCTCCACGGCCCGGCCCGGCCGAGACTGCGAGGTCCGAGCCACGTTTGGTAAGCATCTGTGCCTCCAAGGGAGGAGGAGAGGGAAGAGCACTGCCACCTGCACAGGGGCCTGTGTGAGCCGAGGGCCACCTGTGGGGTTTCACGCTGTCCTCTGTACGGCCTGGGAGCAGGTGCAGCCCAGTCGGCAGAGGAGCAAACAGACTCAGAGCAGGTAGGAAACCTTCCCAAGGTCAACCAGCTGGTCAAAGGACTGCTTCCTTCCTGAACCCATACCCTGTCAGCTGTGGAGCTTTTGGTCTCTGAAATCTTTCTAGAAAATTTTTGATAAAGCTGATTCCATTTTCCTGTAGGCCTTCAACTTGCATCTGTCAAGGAAAAACTGAGATTTGAGAGGGATGAAGTGGGGCTTGGGCATTGAGGTCCTTTGGGAGGATAGATGTGGGGAGCATCAGAGGTCTTTGTCCTGCTTGTGACACACAGCATGGGGGAGATGTTGAGTCCAGGCATGTTGGTGCTGGGATGGGAGACAGACCTCTGCTTAGCCTGGTTAGTGCCAGGAGCCATCGCCCCCTCCCCCACTTTGTTCCTTCCCTCTCTAGCAAAAAAGCAGGGCCAGAGCGGCATCATCTCCTGTATAGCCTTCAGCCCAGCCCAGCCCCTCTATGCCTGTGGCTCCTACGGCCGCTCCCTGGGTCTGTATGCCTGGGGTGATGGTTCCCCTCTTGCCTTGCTGGGAGGGCACCAAGGGGGCATCACCCACCTCTGCTTTCATCCCGATGGCAACCGCTTCTTCTCAGGAGCCCGCAAGGTAGGGATCACACCCTGAGAGCCCAAAGCACCTGGGCAGCGGGGCAGGAGCGGGGATGTAGTCTGCAGTGTAGGGGAATGGGGATGGGGAAAAAAATCCCAAGCTGAAGGGGAGTGCCTGGAGACCCCGAGGGAGGCAGAGACATCCAGGGCTTTGGGGGCGACTCCAGGTCCTGTTCCATGTCTCCAGGATGCTGAGCTCCTGTGCTGGGATCTCCGGCAGCCCGGTTACCCACTATGGTCCCTGGGTCGAGAGGTGACCACCAATCAGCGCATCTACTTCGATCTGGACCCGTGAGTGGCCGTGGCTCCTTCCTACACAGGGCCCTGAGAAGCCTAGGAATGCCAGAGCCCAGCTGTAGGGTCCTAGCCCCTGGGTGTGAGTGGTTCCTGCCCCAGGGGTGAGGCCTCTGCCAGCAAATCTCTCCTCTCTCCCCCAGGACCGGGCAGTTTCTAGTGAGTGGCAGCACAAGCGGGGCCGTCTCTGTGTGGGACACGGGCGGGCCTGGCAATGATGGGAAGCCGGAGTCCGTGTTGAGTTTTCTGCCCCAGAAGGACTGCACCAATGGCGTGAGGTCCTCAGTTCCATTCCAGAGATGTTGGGGCTTGGGTTGGGGACGGAAGTGAATCCCAGAGGGAGCAAGTGTCCTCACTGAAGGCACTGATAGACCGTCCCCATCTCTCCCTCAGCCTGCACCCTAGCCTGCCTCTCCTGGCCACTGCCTCCGGTCAGCGTGTGTTTCCCGAGCCCACAGAGAGTGGGGACGAAGGAGAGGAGGAGTTGGGCCTTCCCCTGCTCTCCACACGCCATGTCCACCTTGAATGTCGGCTTCAGCTCTGGTGGTGTGGGGGGGGCCCAGACTCCAGCATCCCTGATGATCACCAGGGCGAGAAAGGGCAGGGAGGAACGGAGGGAGGTGTGGGTGAGCTTATATAAAAAGGTTTTTATGATACTAGAGTCTTCGTGTCTGTTTGTGGGGGGGCATATGAGTGAGGTCGGGGTCGGGCAGGGGGACTGGCGGGCTCCCTGGTCCAGCAGCAGTGGGTATGGCATATTGTTCCTGAAACCAGGGGTTGAGAGGTGGGACTAGGCAGGAGCCAATGGGGTGGCTGAGCTTGATGTGAAGTCAAGTGGGTGGGGGTGGGGCTTCATGCCATTGACTGGTTGGTTGCTAGGCAACTTGGTAAACTGAAGGGGGAAACCTGATTGAAATCTCACTCCCAAGGTGGGGGTGGCAGGGGTCAGAGTGAGCCGGGCTGAGCAGGAGCTGGGTCAGACTGTTGGGTGTGACCGTGTGAGACTGTGCAGACAGTGACAGGGTGGCTGTCACCCACACTCCACACTGCCATTCTCCAGCAGCATGGGGACCATTACTCAGCTCTGAGGGGAGCAGGAGCACTCCCCTCCCCTCCCCGGGGCTCCCCAGGAGGCAGACAACCCAGTTGCCAGAGTCAAGGACACACCTAAAAGAGGAAAGGTGTTGAAAAATACAGTCGTCACCTTTGGTATTGCTGTTCCATGCGGGGTGCGGCGAGGGTCTTATTCATTCAGCAGCTGTCGCTGGGCTTGTTTCTCCATTTGTCTGCTCTGTCTTTGGGGGTGGGGGGACGAGTGTGTCATTTGAAGCAGTGACTCCTCCCTCCTCCCCCCAACACCTTCCCAAACACTGACAATGGGGGGACTTTGAAGAAATACCGCCAGCAGGGC